TTTCAATAAAAATAATAAATGTCTACTTTAAGTGTTGACACTGAAAAAAATAAAGACAAGATTGACCAAATCATCAAAAACAATAATGGAAACAAAATGATTGAAGTGAGTAATGAAGAATTTTATGATGATGATTATTTTGATTCTGATTTAACTGATGATGATGGTGATTATGATGATAGTAGTAATAATAGAAATAAAAATTTTAAAGGTTTTTTTTTTATTTATGAAACTTTTCTTTTAATTAATAATATTTGTTACTCGATTCACATCTCTAATTAATTCAATAATCAAGGAACAATGTCTAATCTGAAAAAAACTAGAAAAGAATATCGTAAAGTTTTAACAAATGATGAACTATTTTATGACCCAGATGTGGATGATGTAAATGAATTATGGATGCAAAGAAAATTATCAAGTTAGTTATTTATGTATCACATATTTGTATTTATATTTATATTTATATTTACTATTTATATTAATTATTGATAATATAGAACATAACAAAACATCTTCAGATCAAAAAACTTCAACTACTACTTCTACTAATGAAACTGATGCAATATTATCATGCCCAATGTGTTTTACCATATTAAGTTATCAAACACAAAAGTACAAATTAATCATTTTTGTTTTTTTTTTTGACAAATTATCTAATATACAAATTTATATTTATATGATTTTATATATTTTATAGACATGAATTATATTCAAATCAATACCGAGCAATATTTGTGGAAAATTGTAAAGTCAATTATTTAGAGAAACTGGTTTATAAAGAAGACATGGAAAGTAAAAAATCCAAGAAAAAAATAAACAAACAGAACAATGCAATAGATGATGAAAAAGTTGATAAATCAACACAAATATCAGAATTAAATAATAGTAATAATAGTAGTACTATGACTAATAATAATAGTACAATAGAAGAGATCTATTACCCTGTTGAATGTTTGAATTGTGGAACCAAAGTTGCTGTTATGGATGTAGAAGAAGTTTTTCATTTTTTTAATGCTATACCTTCTTAACTGGATCAAAAATATATTTTAAATTTATCTCAAAAGAGGGATTTAAGATATATATACACTGTATATTTATTTATAAAAATAAACAAGCATTCTGCAGATGTAGGAGGTGGG